CCCACTCATTTGGTGAAGTGATTGCAAAAAAAATTGACACGTCATCAAATACTGTAGGAGAATTAGAAATTGGTTTCAAAACCGGGTTTCAAACAGGGGCTAAAGTGACATGCAATAATATATGCTATTTATGAAACAATATTTTTCTCAAATCGTTATCAAAATTTGTATTAATCAAAAAAATTAAAGTGACTCCTAAAGTTTCTGATGCCCCAGTTTCTGAGGTAGAGTTATCTTTAATGTTTGTTGCATTTGTATTAATCAAAAATTAAAAATGAAAAGGGGAGTTATGTGTTCATTTTGACATATGACTGGTCATGACTGGCAGTAGTCAAAATTTATTATTCCAATCTAATCTGTGGTATTTCTTCAATGCCTCATGTCATCTTATATCTCTTTTATAGTAAGTACTACTGCAGTAAAAAATCCTTTACCCTACACCCTTTTTCCTTAGAAAGAGCCAGCTAACAACGTTGTTTTAGAGTAAAGATGCCAAGCAGGGCTGATTGCACAAAGGCTACTACCTTAGCGCTGTCTAGACTGTTATTTTAAATTTTAATAAAATAAATAAAAGTGCTAGGTCAAAAATCGAAAATACCATATGCATTGAGTGCACCGAGAACAAAAGAAAGCTGACCAAGGAAATGTCCTAATCTACTTTAGAATCTTCACCGTGGGCCGTTAGTGCTTGACTAATAAGATAGAAAGGACCTTTGGTGAATTTCATAGGTTTTCATGCTTATTAGTAATTACTTCTTGTAGAGATTTTTCTACTTTGTAAAATTTAGAGCTTCAATCTTATTTTATATTGTGTATGAATGACGAAGATGTATTTATTTTTTTTAGTGTGGGCATCATATTGCTAGTATATAAATATTTTCAGTTGAGAAAAGGATGTGAGAAATGTTCAAGTGGCTTTGTGCGTATTGGCAGTCGACACTGGTTCAATACTTGAATTTATAGTTTATACAGTTCATTGACCCTTAATACTGTTATTTTTGCATCTTTATGTGACTTTTTTTTTTTTAAAAATGTAGCTTTGTTTTCAACTTTCATGTGACAAACATCTCAAATAAAAACCAAATCACAATTTCATCAATGCAAGAACCCAATTTCATACAGTAAATTTTTAGGGTGAATCGTGTGACTTGCCCCATTCTATGAATCTAAAAGAGTTGCACGTTCTTTTCTTTCTTTTCACAACATGACGTTTCTATCTTTGTCATGACATAACCTTGATATGTGGCACCACCTGTTGGACATCATAATTGAAATAATGCAAGTTAAATAATTTTATGCATGTGTCTTATTTCAGTTTCTAAGAAATAATTTAAACATCCATAATTTTTTTTTTCGTGTTGATATTTATGTGTGTGTGCTTTTAGATATAATTTTGGGTATGAGAATGGTTAGAAAGCTAGCATTTTCAAGAATAAGTCGGTGTTGTCAATCATCAATTTTCGTGTCTCACCTCATTTTAAAATGTTATTTGCTCGTTCCAGTTATTTGATGTATCTATGAGCAAAATGAAAGCAAAGCATTATTTTCCTTTAATTTGTTCTACTTTCACTAAAGATTTTCAGGGTCAAATTTTTCATTTCATTTTTAGATGATAATTTTGATTATTAATTTCATAGTTTATTTTCTTCTAGTTTCCAATCCATGATTGCAGAAACAAATGCATCAATCTTTCAGTACTCGTTATTCTGCTTTTGGCTATTACATTCTTTAGTTTTTAATATGGTCTTCTATTCGTTCGTTCTTTTTCTCTGTTTACATTCGATAGTTGCTAGATACATGGTCGTGCAGTCGAGATATAGGGGAGTAGCCCTTAGATTTTCTTTTTCTTTTAGTTGCACAGTTTCGTTGGTATATAATAAAACTATTCTGCTTATATGTCGTCGCTTTTGACTCTACATAGTATGTTAAGTATTTCTCTTGATTTTTTTTTCCAGGATGAGCAGGATTGAAGTCGACATTTTCATCGTTGTTTTGCTACTGGCTCTACATGAAATTTAAACAGACAAAGTGGAAAGGTAATAATTGGTTTTTATTGCAGATAGATTACATGTTTGCTTTACTAAATAGCTGCTGTATTTGTAACTCCGTCGTGTCATGTCGTGTTTGGTGTACTGGATTAGATTGCAGACGAATTGATTAGAGGTTTTGCCTGCAGGCATGCCTTGTGTGGGCCACCATTCTCAATATTTTTCTCGAAAAAAATAAAAATTGAAAAAGGCTTGAGTCATGGGCCTGGAGAGCTAGGTCCGACTTGGCTTGGCGGGACCGACCTGTCCATTATAGACATACACTTCTACTTTCTATATAATGGGTTCTGATAATGGAGATTTTACATTTACTGTTAGTAATTCTGACTCGGTCCTTAATCAAGAGAATGAGTTATTGACTAGTAACATACAAGGTCCTCTTTGTCTCATTTTAAAATAAAATTCTTTAATTTTCAATCATACATTCACACAATAAAACATGTTGCATATAAAAAAGTATTTTATTTTTTAAAAAAAATCATACATTTTCTAAAAAATCACTATTCAAAGTATCATTTTTTCTAAATAAGTTACGAAAGTTGTGTTAGACTAAACCTAGCTTTTTTTTAAAAAAAAAAAAATTCACGTCACATATAATTCTTATGAAATTCTCACTATTTGGTCTACGGGTTTTTCCATTTTTACCGAAAATGGATGATAACGAGTTTGACAACCTTTCATATGCGTGCGAGCTTCGCGTGAATAAAAAATTCCAAAAAAATGTGGGCCTTCTCCCCATTGTGAGTGTTCGGTCAAAGTGTTTGTCAACCATTTTCGATAAGTGTAGCATTACTCTTGGTCTACCCTCAACAACGCAACATGTAAAATATAACACTATCAAGTACAAATGCACTTTGCTTTCAATTTCAACCGTAAAGTGGGATATATTTAGATGTTTCAAAATGTATTAGATCGTCTACATTTAATACGTAAATTCACAACCCAATCTTAATCTAACACGTCTCTATCGTTGAGATGTGCTAAACTCAATTGTTAAGAGTATGTGCCCCCGGTTGGCCAGCAATCATTAGTTCGTATTCATTAATAAAAAAAAGATCGTACAATTGTACTTATTTCTTACGAAGTCCATGTTTGGTAAAAATTTAAATTCAGATTTTAATTAAAGTAAATACTTAATTTTAACTACAAAGTTCATAGGGCACACAATTTTTTAATTTCATATTTCATTATCTTTTACAAAAATTTACTAGAAATTTGATTTTAATCTCCACCAAACAGTGGCCAATTGATTATGATGATTATAATTTAGATTTAATTCCAAAATTATACTATTTACACACATTCCTAATATACTGTAGCATCAAGGAGAAAGATTAATTCTTAGAACATAACATGTCAACTCGAACATTTTTAGAACGTGTTATTCATACTAATTTTAAGTCATTACACTTTCATTAGTAAGAATAACAAAGACACATTTAGGGCCTATTTGGGCCAGATTAAAATTCGATTTTAATCCAAGTCAAAGTCAAACGATCAATATCAACCACATCTTTCATGGGTTCCACATCTTTTCAACCAAACATTTCAAAAACTTCTATTATAATCCACTTAAAATCTGATTTTAATCTATACCAAACACCCTCTTAATTCCATTGCTTGAAAGGATATTCGATACATTTAGAGGGACGTTTAAGTATGTTTTGAGTCACTAGATCAAAGTCGCATGACCTAATTAAAATGAGTAATACTATTTACACACGTTCGCTATCGTAGTTGTTTTATATGTGTGACGATTAATAATTTGATGTATTAATATAGTAATTTTTTATTATATTAAATATCAAATTAGTAATCGTAATGTAACATCATTCAGTTAAAATTACGGAGAGTTGAGTGATCCTCGTTAGGTGATGTGTGTCACTTGCTCCGTCTCTTCCTCGCATTCTTCCCCATTTTCTTGATCATTCTCGAATCTTCCTCATACATGCTCACTCTCATTAAGAATCTTAATAGCTAAGCCATTGTTGGTCATTTCGTCCAGTTAAATTTTGAGAGCTAAGCAAAATAGATGAACTGGAGAGTAAAATCTTTTATACGGATAAAAAAAAAAGAATAAAATCTTTTATAGTACATGCGATACACTCAACAAGAGTGCACAATAGCACTCTGCCAAGCTGAAATCAACTCTCACGCGTGCTGAGGCTGATGAAGAAGTGTGATGGTGATGAAAAGTATATTAACACGTCACAAGCCCTACCAATGTATAAAAAAGACCTTAGTCCCTCACTTGACCTACACAGATCATTTGCTTGTTAAAGAGAGTATTGAGATTTATAGTTATATTGAGAGAATGGACGGTGGTGGCAGCTTTGGCCGGCGTGGTGGTGGTGCTTCCGGTGGACGTACCGACGACAGAGGTAGTAACTATCAGGGTCAGGGTGGTGGAAGAGGGGCGGGGCTCCACAGGGCTCTCAATATCAGACTCCGATTCAGCAGCATTGGGTCAACAGGCCGCCGTATCAAGGTGGTGCTGGTGGGTCTCAAGTCAACCCATCGCCGCCTCCACGGGCGTGGGGCAACAAGCCGCCACAACAAGATCAGGGCCAGGGAAGTGGTACCGGAGGTCAAAGGCCAGCGCAACAGCCTCTGGAAGTCGGCGTGGGGCCTACTCCTCCGAGAAGAGCTTGGACTGGAAGCCCCTGGGGCCCACCTACCGATGCTTCATCACCTGCTAAGCATCAAACTCAGCTTCGGCCTCAACCTAAGACTCAGGGGCCACCTCAATCATCTGACGGTACGATCTCTTAATGATCCAAAGCCGGTATATTGTTTCATATTTTTAATTTTTTGGTCTTAGCTAATTTGCTTGGTTGAGATTGACTCTTAGGAGCCCACATTGTTGCCTGAAGATGGATCTTGCTTCATTTTATTTGGTGATTTGAGTTTTAATGGTAGAAATGAACTTTCTTAGGTTGAGAGAAAATTTAAGATGAACAAATGGGGATCTTATGAAAATCTTTTCTGTTATGAAGATAATAGGAAAAGCAATTATTTAGTTCAATTTCGAATGGTGTGACGTAGATTCTTGCCATGGAAGTAAGCACTCTTTAATCAATTAATGATATTAGCTTTAAACTATAATAGATGTCGTTTCTACATGTTATATACAAAGTTTGGAACTGTTCACCTTTTTATTAAATTCTTGTATGTTGTCTTGTGTAGTTGATATCCAATCCCTGAAAATTTCAGAAAAGCAGCCTATATCATCTCATTCAGAAAGTACTGAGAATAGAACCATGCCTATCAAAAGGCCTGATTGTGGAGGGTCACTTGCCATCAGGACCATCCCTCTTCTTGTTAACCATTTCCCTGTCAATTTTAATCTAAATGCAACCATAATACACTATGATGTGGATGTTGAGGCTGTGGCATCCCCTGGGGATCGGTTTGTGAAAAAATCAGTATCTAAATCTGATTTGCATCTAATTGGGGAAAAGCTATTCTATAGTCGGTTTCCTTTGTTGAAGATTGCTTATGATGGTGAGAAGAACATTTTCAGTGTAGTAACTCTTCCCACTGGAGAATTTAAGGTGGAGTTGTCTGATGAGGAAGATTCTGAGATTCGATCTCACTTATTTACCATCAAATTTGTGAATGAATTGAAGCTCTCCAAGCTGAAAGATTACTTAATGGAGAATCTGTCCTATATTCCTCGAGATGTATTACAGGGAATGAATTTGGTAATGAAGGAAAATCCTTCGAAGAATAGAATCCACGTTGGTCCAAGCTTTTACTCTGCTAATTACGAAGCGAGGGATGATCTCCATTATGGACTCACAGCATATAGAGGTTTCCAACAGAGCTTAAGGCCTACATCCCAAGGTCTTACATTGTGCTTAAATTGCTCGGTATTGGCATTTCATAAGCCATTACCAGTACTAGAGTTTCTGAAAGAGCGTATTCGAGAGTTCAATGGAATAAATGATGTCACAAAGTTGAGGCAACAAGTGATCGATGCATTGAAAGGACTGAAAGTAAGAGTTACTCATAGAGTCACGAAAAAAAAAATATACTGTTTCAGGGCTGACTACAAAGAATGCTGGTGGTCTAAGAAGCACCGACACTGACACTACGTGTCGGACACGCCGACACGCAATTTTTAAAAAAAGTTCCGACACAATACGTCTCCGACACGTTGATTACAATTTTTTTTTAGGTTATTTCAATTTTATAGTCGAAAGTAATAATTTTTTATACTTATTAAATCATATATATAATGTGATAAATAGAAATCAAACTTGACATTAATTTCATAAATGTTTCTTAATAACATAAGTTTAAAAAGTAAAAACGAAATTAATTACATCATT